GAGGTCACACCAGGGTCATATAGGACTAGGAGTCACAAGGTCACTGTTTCTAATGTATGCATGTGTATTACCGTTCTGTTGGAAGAGCTGGCAGTATTGACAGGTTTAGGTTTTGCCGTGTCGTAATTTGACGCCGGCTGGCGCCTGGTCATCTGCAGGGCCACCAGATCCTTCATAATTGAATGGAGAGCCTGTCTCTCATCTGGGGAGAAAGACAGAGATACAGAGAAGCCGATAATTATTTTCATGTTATTGCAAAGACTTTACATAGACAAAGATGGCACACTCATATTAAAACAACATTTACTGGACAGATCATATTTTCATATTAATTTTTGAGATTTGCTAAAGATTACATTTAACAGTGTTAATTACTTTTAATTAAAAATTTACTTTAAATGAGTTGTAGATGAAGGCAAATTTGATCTAAATGTAAAAATAGGGGTAGGGCTGGACGATTAATGACAATATACATGAAATCAGACCTAAACCGATATGGCTTATCGCGATTATGAAATCGCAAAGACTGCGATGATTTTTTTTTTATGCGCAGCTTGTCATTGATGTACGGGCGGCTCTGAAAGCACTGTGAGTTTGAGTCACTTATAATGTGCATTTGAAAAAGCAACACGCGTCAAACATCTTTCCAAACATGAGAAGCATTTATGAACCACTTGTCCAACAAAAGACAACATTTAATAATATGCTTTTACTCCAAACTCACTTCATAAAGACAAATGAGATGTGAGATGATGTGGCCTCTAACACAAAATAAGGAAGTCGTGTGTTTATTAGTCATGTTTAATCACTCAAAGCGTTTCAATCTTCTGTTTATTCAGCTACAGTGATAGGGATTTCCTGGAATGATGTGTGTTATCGTACTTCTATGGCGGGGCATTTTTGGCGTGTCGGTGAGAGACGCCCTCTGGTGTTCAGATGGAGCAGCATTTACTACAGATCAGTCATGCTGCACTGACAAACTGCGCATAAAATAATCGCAGCCTTTGCCAAATCGCGTGCTGTTTCATTACAATTAATCGTGCAGCCCTAAATAGGGGAAAATATTATAAAATATTTTCAGTCAATAAAAGTAAAAAAAATAAATAAATAAAAACTCATACCAGCTGAGTTATAACCGATATGATATGCAGTGTTTTCCATTAATTTCCTAGACTTTGGCGGCCCGCCACTGTCTAATCTGTCCCGCCACGGTTTCATTAAGATTTTTTTTTTACTTTTCTCTTAATAACATAAAAGGTCACTAACATTGCACCATTGCTTTGACAAAGTATCCATCAAACAAACTAAAATCGAAAGTGAAATCAATTTGTGGCTCAATCATTGTAACAAGTGTCCTTGAGTGGCTGAATACTTTACTTTAAACCAAACAAGAGATTATGTTGCAGAAACTATAAACTTGCTATACTGTTACAACACAGGTGCAGAAGAACTGAGAGGATGTTCTGCTCTCCTTTGTGAATAAACACTCACAGTCAGACGACTAGACCTGCGTCAATGCAGAGAAGTCTGAGAGAGGGAGATGACCGTGTTTTTGAGATCTCTGTTCTCATGTTTGATGTAAGAATGAGCTGAGTCTTGGCTAAGCTCACTCAGGGAAAATATTCAGTGTGTTCTTTGGATGGACTTCACACACCTCCTGAGAGGGAGAGAAACAGAGAAGCCTCGTCTACCCGCTAATACTGGGAAACCTGTGTTAGAAAATGGCAGATCAACCCAAGCAACAGACTCAACCACTCAACTGTTGAAAATCTGTGTGTTCATGTGACCAGTGTGTCTGTCTCCATATTTCCCTCTGTCTCTATTTAAACATCTCCCAACATCCTTTTAATTCCAGACGTCACAGTTGTTTCCAGATCAACAGCAACTTGTCTGTCGTTTAGGAAGGCCCTGATATACTCGCAGCAAATTTATTTTTCGTTCTTCGCTTAGAGGTAAAGAGAAGTTCAAAACCCCTTTTCAGCAGCATAGTGTTAGCGAATATTCCAATGCCATTCAATTAGATGAATATGTAAATATGTGCTGCTGCACACTTTCCTCTCAACAACAAAAACAACAAAAATGATTGAGGTGAGAAAACAGCAATTTATATAGCACTTTGTACAATTCATTGCTCTGAAGCAAGCAGATTTACAGTATTAAAAATGATAAAGTGTCACTTTCAATTAGAAGTACTTGTACAAGAACTTTTACAACTCGCCATACACTACATACATAATTTACAAAGTAAGTTTGGGGTCAGTAAGATTTTTTCAAGGAACTTAATACTTTTATTTATTTAAATCACAAAAATTGAACCACAGTTTCCACAAACATATTAAGCAACACAACTGTGTTGAGCTCCAAATCATCATATTTGAATGATTTCTGAAGGATCATATTAGACTGAAAAGTAATGATGCTGAAAATTCAGCTTTCCTTCACAGGAATAGATGACATTTTAAAATACATTAAAATAGAAAACAGTTATTTTAATCTTAATATTTGACAATATGAATGTTTCTACTGTATTTCTGACTAAAATGCAATATTGGTGAAAATAGGATGGAGACTTCTTTCAAAAACATTACTGTTCAAAAGTTTGGGGTCAGTAAGATTTTGTAGTGTACACCTCAATGAGTGAGAGGCACTTAAACATCTAGCTAAGCTTTATTTTTTTTTTACTTTATCTTTGGTTGAAATTAACCTAATATTGTAGATTTTTAATTTTATCAATTTTTATTTTCATAAAATAATTGTTTGAGCTCAAGCAATAATTGAAGACCTGTTTAGGATCCCTGACATATGATAAAAAAACATGAGGACTCACTCATTTTGTCGGTATGAATGTGTGTGCTATTGATTGAAGTTCAGGTTTGAAGGTCCTCACACACCCTTTCCTCTAGTGTCACCCATCAATGGCCTAGAAATGGAACAATATTCAGGTTATACAGAAACTCCTGATAAAATGAGTCATCAGCTGTAACTTACCTACCAACCAAAACAAATGTAATCTGAGCCACCAAAAAATGATATCAGTCAACAGCACCACAACAACAATTACAATTGTTGATGGACATACACTTGTTAATGCCGATGGTGAGGAATTATAGTTGCAACATCTCAATGTAGGCTACATCAAACTGAGTAGCGCATCACTGAGAAACATCCTGCTCAAGTCGTCCTTGCGATGGAGGTTCAAGTTGAATAACTAGTTCTTCCAATGTTTCATCGTCGGACTCGCGATCGAACCCATAGTTGCGGTCTTTACAGGGTGTACAATCGCTGAGTTTTAGGAAGCCTACAGAGCTGAAATTCAGTTATGGTAATTGCTGTTTCGTTTCCAATACGTGCTGAAATACCGTGTCAGGCTACACAAATATTGATCTTGACATTGTTAGCCTTTTGTCTTTTTTACATGTCGTACACTGTACATTTAACAGACTTATTATGACTTAATTCCTAATTGGCGCGTTTCACCATCAGTGTGCAATGCGCATGACGTGTACGTTCGTTAATAAATAAACTGCAAGTGTCTTGCGGAAGAACATTGTAGCCGGAACTACTTTTCTCCGTTAATGTCTAGGGCGAGTCACGCAGGCACTGGGCAACTCCGCAGCCGAGCCGACCCCGGGATAAAATAGTCAGAATATAAACACTTATTAAAGGCGTACCGTAGTGATTCAGGATAAGTCAAAAACATGGTTTGGAAAATGGATTCATGATGTACTCGTTCATTTTGAACATACAGACTGCAGCAGCTGCTGATACAACGGCGTTCTGTTGCGCATGCGTGAATTTAACTGAGTACATGACCATGCACTCGCACAAATGCGACCACATAAAATTTTAACTTGCACATTCTCAAAAAAAGGTCGCAGTCTGGAACCCTGCCAAAGATCTAAGACTTTTTCTATGTACACAAAAGGCCTATTTCTCTCAAATATTGTTCACAAATCTGTCTAAATCTGTGTTAGTGAGCACTTCTCCTTTGCCGAGATAATCCATCCACCTCACAGGTGTATCCATCATATCAAGATGCTGATTAGACAGTGTGATTATTGCACAGGTGTGCCTTAGGCTGGCCACAATAAAAGGCCACTCTAAGATGTGCAGTTTTACTGTATTTGGGGGGGGGGTCCGGAGAATAAAAAAAATGTTGTTGCTTGTGGAATGTTGGTCCACTCCTCTTCAATGGCTGTGCGAAGTTGCTGGATATTGGCAGGACCTGGAACACGCTGTCGTATACGGCGATCCAGAGCATCCCAAACATGCCACACCTGTGAGGTAGATGGATTATCTCGGCAAAGGAGAAGTGCTCACTAACACAAATTTTTATACAAAAATAAAAAAATCTTACCTTCTATCCTTTTGATGTCCTTCAAAGATGTTATCTGTTCTTTCTGGAAGAACAAAAAACTGCTTTAACACAAAGGTGTCCAAATTATAGTTTCACATAATATGTTACCCATTTCTCTGAAGAAATCCATTTAACCACAGCTAACCTCTGTGTTATGCATGGAATTTGTAGTGTCAGTATTCATTTACCAAACAGTATGATGTTTTAGCTTATTTTTTTCTGTATAAAAATGTTTGAACACATTTCAGTATTCATCTCTAGTATATTCCACAAACAACAGTATTTTCTACAAATGCATTTAATGGACAATATCAGTGTTAATTCTGCTGTTATAATTATAATTGGGTAAATTGAATTTACCCAAGCTGTGAATAGGAGTTCTGCATTGACTGTGATACAATAAAAAGGTCATGTACCACTATGTCAAGAAATTAATTTTTATTGAGTTGTCCTTGCAGGCTGCGTGCAAAAACAAATGTATATTGTGACCAGCGTAGTCAGATTCATGAACAAATGACAATATGAAGAGTTCAAAATCAAAAACAAACTGAAAATAGTGTAGCCCAATTACTCAAAACATTATTCTTATGAGTTGGTTCTTTTAATAAGACTAAATTAATCAGTAAAAAAAAAAAACTGCCTAAGATCATTTACAGCATTAGCCTAGAGAAAATTTCATTTGCAACTTTCATATTCAAGTAAAATTTATACCATACGTTTTATGTTAAATTTGTACTAAATTATACAGTTACTTATGCAGTTATATTAACTGAAATATACACAAATTAATCCGAATTAAAATCTAATTATTGAATCAGAAATCAGAAAAGACTCAGGAAATCTGTATCAATACTCAAGCCTTAGTTAATTCAGTTATTTTCATTAAATACAACACTAAAGACAATCAAAAATGCCATATCAAATCTATACAATGTAAAGGAAATTTTACATCCTGAAGAACTCAAAACAGGTGAGCTGTTGAGGGGCAAACCAGCCAAATGGTTGCACTAGAAAGTCAGCAAAATCTCATTAGAATGCTTCCATCAGCATATCCTGACCTTCAACAATGAAGCGCTGGATAGGACTGCATCATTCCTAATGACATTACCTGCCTGTGCTTCACTGCCAGACTTCATTTGACCTGCAAAACTCTTTAGATCCAATTACAGCAGCCTGAAGAATAGAGGACTAACTGGACATTGCTAAAAAGAATTGCTCATCCTTCCATATTTATGGTCAACGCTGAGATTATTAACCAAATGGATGAGGTAAGGAATATGTGCGCACATGCGTGCGTTTGTTTCAGTGCCTCCAGTCATGCAACTTCAACTGAACTGAGAGAAATTACAAAGGTCATTAATTTGCACTCATTTAGTCAAATATGGGTGGCACCAGGTGGCCTGACCGACTGAACCTATAAACACACTCAACGAGCAGCGAATGCATGCGGCTTCATCTGATATTATGCTACATATACATCCAAGTCTAAGTTAAACAGACCCTCACCAGGAACATCATCTCAGTTTCCTACCTGACTTTAGATCCCGCTTCTGCCTTTTCTTCCTTTCCAATTTTGAACTTCCTTCTCTATGGATGATATTTTCAAATGGGTTACATTTATTAATAAGCAATAATTTGCAGGACCGCACAAGCAGGACCGCAATTTCTGCATGCAGGACATGAGCATCCTGCCACTAAGGTAAATTGGACACTGCTGAACCTGGGGGGATGCCGGGCAAACTGAATCGCATAGCCAAGTTTGATCATTTGAATGACCCAGCGAGATGGCCTGGTAAGCCAGGCTTGCAGATACTGCGCAAGGGGGACCAGTGGGACAACAGACGTGCCTGCAGTGGGGAAGCGCTGTGGAGTGCAGGGGCCCGCCCGCACTAGAAGGGCCGCGGGGATTGACCCGACGAGAGAGCTCCCACTGTAATCCTTAGATCACCCTGTGTATTAACCAAACAGCAACCTTCCGGTCTCTCTCTTGAATCCAACACGAAAATGACTTAAACTGCAATTAATCGTCTGGCCACTAGAGACAGGCTCCAAAAGAGAGTAAATCCCCCCCGTTTACAGCCTGGTACAAAACGCGATGTTGGTCTATATAGCTAATTTTGCATGACATTCCGTGACACAGTTGTCATTCCTTCATGACAACTGTGAAGGGAGTGATTTTTATATTTTTATAACTCATCCGTTTAAATATATTAAGCCTTATAGTTCTGGATAATTAAGGGCGTGGCCACTTGAGTGACGGTTGGATTGTCACTGCTGTCACTATAGCTGTTTGTCTGCTGTCTGTTAGCCGTCACATCACCTCAGTTTCGGTTATCCGGGAGTGACGCACTGCCAAGATGGTGACGGCCAGCTCCGCCCACTTTGAAACCTACGGGTGACGTCACGGACACTACGTCCATATTTTTTTTTACAGTCTATGGTATTAACCGATGTGGCTCTCTGCTGGGGAGAGAGACCAGATTGGGGAACAGCAGAGGGGACTCCACCTTTCTCAAGATATTTGAGTCTCGAACTCAACATCGCGATGGTCACCTTCCCACAGTGGGTACATGACTCAAAAAACGCTACCTTAGCACGCTTATGGCCCAGACACGTGAGGCATTGATTGTGGGTGTCAGATTGTGTAATATTTTTTACATATAAAATATAATATAAAACGTTTAAGCATTAGCATTTTAAGAATTTATTGTAGTGGACTAGATGTGCTTTTCTTGTGTCTAAGACACTAAGCAAAATGTAGGCTAAAAAAGACACAAAGGTAAACACACATTGAAATGAAGTGTCACATAGGCTGAATATGCAGAAAAGGCACTAGCTGAGTTTCCATCTATGTATTTGTAAACAAATTGCGATGGAAAATATAGATGCTGTACAGGAACACCAACATGCAAATTGCAAAAAAAGTATAGGCCTAGATTCCATAAGATTTGTATATGATGGAAACACATTAAAATAAAATAATTAGTGGTTTCCCCAGTGGCTATTCTGACGTCCATACCTATTTTTCACAAATTTCCTGAGAAGTGACCTTTTTTTCCTGTCAAAAATATGTTTGTTCTTTCTTTCTTTCTTTCTTTTTTTTTTTTTTTTAGATATTGCGATTTTTCTCAACTTGAATGGATATTAGCTACTGACCAAGCACCCAAAAACTGCTGCTACTGTCTTCTGTTGAAACCTTAAAATGGTTCATGGAGCAAAAAATTATAGAGAACCCCTGAATTAAGGTTTGTAAAACTTTTCCTTATTGAATCTCTAATCCCCTCTCAGTTTTTCCTTCTCTCCTGCTCTTAATTACCTTGTGGTAAGTATGTGTGGAATCTGGAAAGGGGAGAAGGCTGCCCATGGGCCCTGTCAGCTGGCCTGGGCCTGCATTGTTATGCTTGTATCCCTTTTCCAGTACTCGCCAGAATCTCAACAATTTTCTCTTACCATTCCCACCTCCAACCACCTCCCGCCTGAATTTCGGCTGTTTAGTCTGTGGCTGGTTTTCCCAGCCGTGGCGCTGAGGCTGTTGGCTTTTGCTCGTGGAGGGGCTTACAGTACAAATCCCCTCTAGGGTTCCCCTCCAACACTTTGGAGCGGCTAGACTAAAACTGTTCCTGTCAGCTCTGGGGTAGAGATGACAAGTTGTTCTAAATGGTTGAAAAGACAATGTTTTATCACTAGGTCATGAACTGGCTAAAAACCCATGTTACATCAAACATAAACAGATCTGACACCATCTGTGTAAGTTGTGGTCCATGCAATGAAAGTTATGATGCAAAGGCACATTGAAACTCAAACCTTTCAGGTTTCGACTGGTTTTCAGTGGCCAATACTGATATCTAGAATCAAGCTAATCAATAAAATGCTGATACATAATACAATTCAATGGTAGCAAATAAGTTGTACACAAACTTGCTTGAGAAGGGGGCGCTGTTGAGCAATGGAGGAGTGAGACATGTTTTACATAGCTCCGGTAACTTTTCTTTTATTAAAGCTGCAGTCCGGCATTTTTCCTCTTTGTCGCCATCTCTGTTCGAAATCTGCAATTGCAGTCATTCGCGGAATTATCAACTTTACGTGGGTTGTAGTTCAACACCCTCGACACGGCACAGCGCGGATGAACACAGTGTTTGAGGAGAGTGTGCAGCTGTCAGTCACCGCGCCGATGTGGATATTGTCATTCAGAATCACAGATTATTCTTTTTGGAAGTATGACCAACATAAGAATTTTCACCGGGAAATGTCATCTGAACTAGTAAGAAACATTCACTTTTGTTCTGGTTCTGACATTGCAGTAAATCGCACTGATTAAATCTAACAATTGCTTATAAGTTATCATTTCACGCAAAACCGTGCAAAGTAGCTATACTATGTTCTCTAATTGTTATTGTTGACAACGTCAGCAAGCATTGCGTGACTACATCATGTAATGTCCTTCCGATATTATCCTTGTTTTCGCATGGGTCCGGTTGCAGTCTCTTTTTTTCTGTAGCCACTCCGAAGTCCGAACGAAGTCTTTTGCATTTTACAGCGGGTGAGTCTCTAGTTGTCACTGATGATGATCGTCGTTTGAACCTTTCTGGATCCGCCATCAAATTGATAAGTTTCATTATATCAAGTGCTGTGAGAAAAGGCTATAAATCTCTACCTCCAACATCCTCACACGCAATATAGCTTATACTAGCCGAGACTCCTTCTTTATGTGTACAGATGTGACGTAATGACGCAAAGACATGCTCGAATCTCCCGCGGAAATCCACCAGTACCACTAAAATTAAAAACATTATTACAAGCTTACCGTTTTGCATCGAGCTAAGGCAAGCAGATAGTTTTGAACACTGGCTGGTTATGTATTTTATCAAATATGTATTTTGGATAATTTTTAACCCAAAAAAAGCTACGGACAGCAGCTTTAATACACTAAACACCTGTATAACCGCCTAAAAGTGCTTTGGAGTGACATAAGTAGACACAAGCAAGTGGGAAACTAAACCTAGAAGGAGAGAACGATGTAAAAAAATGGAAAATCCAAAAAGA